ATAAATTTTATTATATGTAATATCAAAATGCAATGTTATAATAGGCAAAGAAAATATAAATTAAATAAATACAAAACATAATTAGTAAAAAAAAAATAAACTAATTTAAACTAAAAATGGTAAACAGCAATAAATAAAAAAAACTGGCAACAATAATAATTAAAATAAGGCAATTTAAAATAAAATAAAATTTTGTTGAAAAAGTCTAAAATAAATTAAAATGAATTTTAAAAAACTACAAATAATAAAAGCAGTAAATAAAGTAAAATTAAATGTAATAAAGCAAAATAAATTAAATTGAATAAAATAAAATAATATAAGAAAACAAAAATTATATAAAAAAATAATAAGAAAATAATGATTGAAACTAAAGTAATATAAAATAACATAAAAAAAAAAAAAAATAAAACTTAAAATTAAAAAAGATTAAATAAAATAAACTAAAAAAAAATGAAAAAAAAGAAATTAAAAAGCAAAAAAACGAAGGAAAATAAAATGAAATTAAACAAAAATTTGTGGGACAAGATAAAATAATATAAAATGAAATAACATGAAAAACTGAAATAAAATAAAACAAAACAAAATAAAATAATAAAAAATAAGATAAAATCCAATGAAATAAAAGAAAATTAAATTAAGTAAATAAAATCCAATACAATAAAATAAAAAAATTAATCAAGCAAATAAAAATAAAATAAAAAATTTTATTTAAAACATAAAAAGAAAGAAAAGCAAAAAGTAAATAAAATAAAATAAAATGAAATGAAATAAAATTAAGTAAAATTAAACAAAAAAAAAAACACCTAACAGAAAAATATTTAAATAAAATAAACAAAATAATTGAATAAAATAACATAATAGTTAAATGAAATAGAGTATTATATAAAATAAAATAAAAATAGAATAAAATGAAATAAAGTAAAATTAAATTAAATCAAATAGAATATAATAATAATATAATAATCAATATAGAATATAAATAAAATATCCCCAAATTATTGATAGAAATTAAATTTTAGATTAATACAAAAACTAAGTAAAATAAAATAATATTTATATAAAGAAACTAAAAATAAACCAAAATAGCTAAAGGAAAAGCAAAATGAAATAAATAAATAAATAAACAAAGAGAAAAAAAGTTATTTTTATTATATTTGAAATGCTATAAATGTGTATAAAATAATTTATAACAAACAATGACAAAATGAGAAATATGATATAGAATAAGAGAAAATAAATAAAACTTAGTAAAACAAAATGTAATTAAGTAAACTTTTTCAAATAATACATAAAAATTAATTAAGAAATAAATATATAAAGAGTAAATTATAAACAAAATGGAATAGCATACGAATAAGTAAAATAATATAATAATTTAAACTAAATTAATTTGAAATAAATTCAAATATATATCATAAAAATTATTAACATTATAATTTAAGACTACACCAGTTTTATGTGATACCAAACGCTGCCAAAAAGCGCTTAATGAATAAATCCGAAAATGCTTCGACGAAAATTTGAAATTAAATTTAAAAATAAATTAAATAATACGCAAATATGCTATTATTACATTACAATAATTTTTCAACAATTTTTAATTGATTTTTTAATTTTTAATTTAACGAAAAATATATCTTTGGGAAATTACCAAATTCACCGATAAATCCTGTTCACTAAACAATCTAAATAAACTTATTGCAAAACGAAATTTTTTTTAAATAATCCCTATGGAAGTTTACTGGTAACCAGAGTGCCGAGAAAACATCGAAATATAACCAAAATGATCTCAAATAGTCGTAATGAGGGCTGCTAGAAATGTGGTTAGAAAACAATATATACATTTGCTTTGAATATTTTTAAAAATTAAATTGCGATAGCCGTTACATACTCACTCCTCAAGTTGTAGTAAATGTTGAGGGGTTTGTCTTAGTTGCTTTTATTCATTTACTTTATGAGGACACTTAATATAAATTCTTTTTATTTCCATAAGTATATAATTCTAGTTACTTCTAACCCCTAGATAACCAATCAACATTTTACAATATTACATATAAACGCTATGATGACTGCGTTCATCACAAATAGTTCACAAAGTAATTTATAGATAATTTGTATTCCATTCAGTTTTCCATACGTTTTTTCATGAGCAATGTTTACGCTTGTTTGACTTTTGATTGCCTTTAGGTTGCTGCTTCTTTCTTACCTCTTTGCTTCGCTTATTACTCTTAAAATTCTCATTTATTTTGCCGCTTCTTTTCCTTTTTCCAACCCTTTATAATTTATCTTGCCGAAAACGTTACAAATTTGTGCTTTTTGCTTTTACTATTACATACTCGTACTGTGAGTAAGTTTTTTTGTTCGTATCCTTCGGGTATTGCAGTTACTTCATTATCATATAATTACACCGCAATTTGCCGACTTTATAATTTTAATTATTTCTATAAAAAGAGATTATTTTGAAAGTTTAATTGATTTTATGGAGGAAAGGGCAACCGTATTAATGCATACACTCCCTTATATTGAATTATAAATTTGAGTTTAAAAGTAATCTCCATTTTATAAACCATTACTCTAAAAATTTAAATTAATTACGATTAATTCAAAATGTTCTTGAGAAAAGGAAAACTTATGCAAGAAGAAAATGTTACGAAAATCTAACACTTTTTCATTTTGGCTTATTGATTGACCATTCTGCTTCTTCTTACTACTACGTCTTCCTGCCTCTAATGCATTTAGAAACCACTAACGAAAGTGGTTTGGAAGCTTTGGAGGCGGCCATTTGTTGGATAAACATCAAGATGACCAAATATTGGAAGAAAAGCACGGCCGAAAATCGTTCAGATATTATGAAACATTCATATCTTTGTTTCCTTTTCCCTCAGTCTTGGTACGTGTGTTAGGTACCTGTATAGATAGTATCAAAAAGGGTTTCAATCCTCGGTCCCAATTAGCGCTGGGTGCGCCATTTTGAAACACTTATCGCAAGACCATAGTATTTCTGTTTCCACGTTTCATTTTTCCCTTCAACCCATTTAGTATTGTCAAAGAAAGTTCTTGGTAAACTCTATAGGCTTTTTGAAGACAGTCATTCATGGTTTGGTACCTGATGGATTTCCATTAACATGTGTGAAATTCGCGAGAAGGGTGGATACTCACCTTGGAGCCTATTCGGACGACATTTCAGTCACTGAGAAATCACATACTTGGAACCATTAAGGACTCGGCTATTTCAGAAGACTTAAGGTTGAGACTAATAAATCGAATCTGGTTATATTGAGTTGAGTTGAGTTGAGTTGAGTTGATGCGGCTGCTGGTCGGCCCCAAAACGCTTTGACCAATTGGCTTATTCACAAGAATCTACAAAATTCCAATATGAATCAAGCAAAAGCTGGTAGAGGCCGCTTTGTAGTCGAAGCTTAGCACTGAGTGCTTGAAATATATGTTAAACAGAAAGTTTTCGTAGAATCAAAATGTTGAAGAGCGAGTAAAAAGGCATCAGCAACTCTCTTACATATCAAAACATGGCTGTTGGGCTCGACATGGAGTCTCTCACCTGCTCTCGCGTTCAACGGTGCGAAAGTGGAGACAATACTTTTTACAGCACTTTAGTATGGTATGGAAAGAGCATTGAGAAGAACTGGAGATTCTCTCCAGATTCTGATTATATGCGGTTAGCGGTATGGTGTGCTCATCTGTTACTGGAAAAGTCGCTGCATCGATGTTATCTGATTCGCGGTTGTGTATTTTTTGTGTACTCTGGAATAACAGGATATAGATCTTATAGTAGATGGTACACTGGGGTAGTTGATAATCGACTCTTTCTTCACAGATATACGTACCTAACATTTTTAATAACTGCACCTTTTACAACATGAAGTATCTTGCTTTTTATAATATTAACATGATTTAAAAGCTCTCATCAGAGCTTAAACTGTTTCGGGGGCTTATGACACAGAAATTACAGCATATACACGTATGGACAGTCCACTGTTTTTCTTTAAACATATTTCATATTTGCCTACTGAAATTTTTGCTGATATGCAAACGTACCAGAAGTAATCCGAATTCTTTGAGCTTTACAACACATCGAACAAAATCGGACAGAAAAAAAAATCTCCCTAAATTTTTTTCAAAATTCCGTTCCTTTCCTAAACTTTCTAACATTAGCATTTTTCGTTCATAACCACATTTTATTTACATTTAACTTCACTCCGACAAATACCCTGTGTGAAAATCATTAGCATCACTAGAGAAAAACTAAATTAAATGCCCTACACGGCGCTCATGAATTGTCAAGTCTTCTGGGCGTTCCTCTTCCATTTGCAAATATCGTGCTGCAGAACTATCAACAATGCCGCTGGCTTCGCAAGTTTCACTGCAGTAATGGTAAATTCTCTTGCAACAAAAAAATACCAATAGTACATGTTTGTTGTTGTTTTCAGTATACCATTTTTCCGCAACAGTCCTTTTGCGGTATGTATGGGAATATAACTGTGTGAATGTACATACGAAGAAGGTTAATAAAAGTTCGGTCAGTTGGTGACTTTCAATATGTTTTTCTAAAATCTAAAAATACCAAGTCCTTTATTAGTTATTTCCAAAAATTAGAAAACATAAATTAATAGCAACGAGGAGATAATTTATGCGGTAAATGTTGAACTTGATAAGCTTAGAAAGCACTAATTTCAAGATTGTTTTCAGCAGCGAATCGATAGGCTTCAAAAATGATTTGAAATCAATGGTGATTATGTAGAGAAGATAAAAAAAACAACAAAGATTAGGAATAAATACAAAAAGAACTCTTTTATTTTTTCTGGTCAACTTATCGAACTTTTGTTAATCCCCTCGTACCCAAACTAACATATGTGCTCGAAAACAAGAACGCATATGTAGATCCTTTCACCACCTTTAGCAATTCAAATACATTTTATTTACCGCTATTTATTCTTTTGATTGCACTCACTTCATTTACGCTTTGTTGTTCACTTCATTTTCAGTTTATTTGCACATAGAAAGTGTATGAAGTTGGTGATTTATTGCTCACACACTTATTATCTACAGGTGAGTTATTATTATTATTATTGTTTTTAATGCAACAAAGTTTTCAGCGTCATTGTAAAGTGTCAGGGGGCATGAGGTTTTTTTTTTTTGCTTTTGTTTTTCAAATTGTGAGTATGATGTTTATTAAGTGTCATTATTTGTACTCCAAAATAACTGTACACTGCAATGTAGATATTAACAGTAAGTAAGAAAGACCATACTCGGGTGGGGAATAACATGAGATCTCTAATCGTTGATATAACGAGTGAACCTAGTAGAGATACTTTTTTCAATTAATTTCCTGTAAATTTTGGATGTTGGTCGCACGGGGATTTAAACCCGAGCCTTCCAAATGGCAGTAAGCAATGCTAACCATCGGCTACTGCGGCCGGCAGTATATATCTGGTGAAAAATATGAAACCACTCGATCGTTCCAAGTGACATCACTCCATAAGCTCTTGAAAAGCTTTGAGAAGAACCGAGTGTTTCGAATCTAAGTTTGTTCAGCGATAAGGTATATTTCCGGCTCAATGGGTATTTAAACAAGTAAACTTTCCTCATTTGAGACAAACAAACAGTGGCATCTTCGGTCCATATTTCTTCAAAAATAATGCCGGAGAGTAGGGAACCGCCAATGGCGATCGACTATTTGACGCCTGAAATTTAAGCTCGTGATCTCATCTTCATTTGGTTTCAACAAGATTTCGTCATTTCACACACAACACAACAATCAATGGATTTATTGAGAAAATACTTCGGTGAGCATATAATTTCACGACTTGGGTTGGACGTTTGGCCACCAAGATCGTATGATATCACACCGTTAGGTTTTTTCCTGTGGAAATATGTAAAATCTAAAGCTTATGTGAACAATACCGCCTTCATTCAGGTCTTGGAGTAAAACATCATGCGTGTCATTCGCAAGTTACCAGTCAAAATGCTCGAACGAGTTATCGAAAAACGGACTCAAGGGAAGGAACATCAGAGACGTAGCGGCGGTGAGCATTTGATAGATATAATCTTCAAATAATAAATGCCACAGAAAGTTCTTTCGAATGATAATAGAGACTTCCAATTAAAATTGAATTTTCTGTTTTTCTTTTTTTAATTTTGGGAACCTCGGAATGGATCACCCTTTATTTCTCGTGTAACATCAGGAGGATTTTACGAACAAACACGTTTTGATATTAGTCCAGTGTTCTCTGAAAGTGAGGTTCTTCTGCCTAGGAAAAGCCACAGTTGGTCTGAGAATTTAACGCCTCTTCCCCTATCTTGTGGTATCTACTTTGGGGTGCCCATTCGCGCATACCACGTTTATTGCTACCAGAAAATCCGTTTTCTATGACGTTTGAACCACTATCTATGCCGAATTTTTCAAAATTTTTTTGGAAATGATTGTTAATGCTCTCACAATATACGTTTTCGTTATCACAGAAACTTGTGGGAAATTTGTTGCTTATTTCACAATTGAAAATAATCAAATACTTAAATTATAATTATTGGAAAACATTTGCATTTTTTGGTCTTCATTTGGTGCCCGAAGTGTGTTGACGTCAACTACACTTGATTATATACATATTAACTGTACATTCTATTTTAATATCAGTCAAAATCAAGAAGCATTAAATGTTGGTGCCATCACTTTGATTTATTATCATGATTGCATAGCACACTCATGTCATATATAACAACATATAGGCGGACAAAAATTTTGAGTAAGCCTCACATGTATGTACACTATGAAGAGTTACACATGTACATATGTACATATATGTATTCGTATCTTTAATTTAATTCTTTCACACTTAATAATGTTTTGATCGCATATAAAACAGTATCTTGTCCCATTTCATTCATGTTTTTCAATACTGTTTTTCATAATATAACTACATATATAGATTCATACATAAATACATACGTACGAGTATATGTTTCAAATATTATCAGATCAAAAATGTGATTATAAATGTCAAATCTTTATCTGCTCTGCTTGTGTAATTATGCTTTCATTAGCACTAATATATTATTTGAGAAAGCTCTGATAGCTTAATGAAATTTAGTTCAAAGCTCTGAATCATGATAAAAAAACAGCAAGAAGAAGAGAAGAAAAACAAAATAATATAAGAAAAAATAAAATAAAATAATATAACATAAAATAAAATAAAATAAAATAAAATAAAATAAAATAAAATAAAATAAAATAAAAAAAATAAAACAAAATAAAAAAAATAAAACAAAATAAAATCAAATAAAATAAAATAAAGGAAATAAAATCAAATAATACGCAAAAATATAAATTTAATTTAAACTAAATTAAAAATAAATGAAATTAAATAAAATTAAACAAAGTTAAATAAAAAAATTACAAAATTAATTAAAGTCAATTTAAATTAAATTCGTAGAAAAAATCAAATAAAATATAATGGAATAAAAAAAATAAATTAAATTATATCAAATTAAATAAATAAAAAAATAAAATACAATGAAATGAAATGAAATAAAGTTATATAAATGAAAACGAAATTTGGTTCAAAAGAAATAAATAAGAATAAAATGAAGTCAAATAATATAAAAAAATAAAATTATAATAAGAAACGAAATAAAATAACATAATATGAAATGAAATAAAATATAATAAATTCATATAAAATCAAATAAAATATTATAAAGCTAATTTAAATTAAATTCAACTACATAAAGCAAAATTAGGTAATGTAAAATAAAATAGACTAAGTTAATTAAAAAGAAATTAAATTTAAGAGGAAACTGAAACAAATATAATAAAAAAGTCAGACTATAATAAAAAAAAAATAAGTCAATTTAATGTCGGGAATCTTGTGCTTTGGGTTATTGGATTTCGGGAGATACTACAATAAATAAGAAAGGCAATTTCTTAAATTATTAATCAGAAATGACAATCATAATTGGTTTTTTTAACGTTCCTTAGTCTTCATTGGGACTGAATTGCTGAGCTAGTGACGTAATGGAGTTTCTTGGTCTTTCTATAACGAACCTCATACACTAAGTAACTAAGTTGAATAATAATTTTAATGAATTTTTTTTGGGATCATTTTTAGACCAGTTCTATTATACGTGTATTTCATAGTCCGTAATACGGGTCAAAGTCCATAAAAATAAGTAACCAACTGTGGTTCTTAAAAAAAATGCAAATCGCTTATAAATTATAAATCCATTAGCTGCTTATTCAAATCAAAAAAAAATAATTTCTTCACTTCAATTAGCATAATCACAAAATTATCTTCAAACAAATTTGAAATCAAGTTCTGTCTGAAAAAAGTTTATACAAATCTGATAAAATTTATTTAATTAGGGAATAATACAATTACGTGTATAATAAACACACGTACTCTTCAATTCGTCAACAAACACAAACGCACAAACACAAACACAAGGCGAGGCAAACAACTCTTTGCCAAACCACAAAGCCTTTAACATTTCTCAAATATTTTTCTTGTCATTTGCATGCTTTTTTTTTTGTGTGCGCCTATGTACGGTTAGTTATTTTTGTTTCACACATAACAAATTTTTTTCAACAGATATTTGTTGTTGTGTTTGCATAGTTAAATATTTGTGAACCATATTCGGCATACGAAAAATCTTCAAATACAAGTTGGTCTGCGGTTAATAGCCACGATAAATGCTGAGCTGTTAGCGGTAAGCTTGTTTGTAGCAATAAAATACAATAACAACAATAATAAGAGTTTTAATATTAGCAATAACACTTGGTCATTCGTTTGAGTCGGTGGGTGGTGCATTGCGCTGAGCTTTGCTTTCGACGGCGACCGATTCACTTAGACGCTGCGACCGGTACGTGCTTTGCTATCGGAACACGCTCATTTGTGGACGTTGAATTGGATTTACGCGAACGTCATTTGGTTGATTTTTTTATTTCTATATTCTCATTCTAAGCACAAAGAAATTTTTTCATTCATTTTCGTTTTTCTTTTTATCTATTGTTAAATTTAAACTATGCTTATCTGTTTCTTTGGCAAATAACAAGAATAAGAACAAGAGTTATGCCAACAAATTTATCTAAGGTTATCATAGGGATTTGCCAGAAGCTTAGGAAAAGCAATTGCGACGGCACACTTTTTATCTTTTCTTGCTACCTGAAAATATTTCGCCAATTATTTACATTTATCTCTTTGGAACGTTTTTAGATGCATATATGTATGTAATTGTAACAATTTATGCGATTTCCTGTAATAAACCTACAAACGTGTTGTATTAATAAAATATTTACAGTTTCTTAGAAGCAAGTGGGAGAGAAAAAAATTATTTGATACACAAAGAGTATTTTAAAAAATAATTCAAGAGCTTGGTGAAATTCAAAATGATCTAAGTAAAGACAAACTAATAATATAAATAAAATAAAATGAAAAAATTGATTTAAAAATAGTTTAGTAAAAAATTAATACAAAATAAAGTAAAACGAAATGAAATCGAATGAAGGAAATTAAAAAATAAAAAAATATCATAAAATATAATAAAATAAAAATAAAAATATAATAAATAGAAATAAATAAAAATATAAAATAACATAAAATAAACTAAAAAAATTTAATGAAATAAATTTAGATAAAATAAAAAAGGATAAATTTACATTAAATTAATTAAAAAAAAAATAATAACCTAAATAAATAAAATAAAATAAAAAAATTAAATTAAATAATTTAAAAAAGAATAAAACAAAATAAAACTACATTAAATTAAATAAAAGACAATAACTAAAATAAATAAAATAAAATTAAACAAAATAAAATCAATCATTTTATGTTCTCTTAAAATATAAAAAAATAAATTAAATAAATTAAATCAAATTTAAATACAATTAAATTAAATAAAATAAACAACAAAATAATATATTAAAACAAACCATTAAAAAGTGAAAAAGAACAAAAAAAATAAAATGAAATAAAATAAAATAAAAAAGTAATTAAATAAAATTAAACAAAAATTAATAATTCGAAATAAAAGTAAATCATATTAAGTCAAATAAA